GTATACTGTTTAGCAACTATGGGCAAACTCATTGAATGCTTTGTCGATGCTAACGCGATTGAATCTAAAATTAATAAAAGATCCACTACAGGTTACTGTGTTTTCATTGGTGGGAACCTGGTATCATGGAGGAGTAAGAAACAGACCATTGTGTCCCGATCCAGTGTAGAGTCCGAATACAAAGCAATGTCCCAGTTCACATGTGAAGCCTTATGGATACAACACCTCTTAGTAGAAGTGGGTTTAAATCCCATATTACCAAAAACTCTGGTGTAATAATCAAACTACCTTTCATATTGCCTCGAATCCAGTATACCATGAAAGAACAAAACACATTGATATTGATTGTCACTTCATTCATGAAAAGATTTAGGAGAACTTGAATATTTTTTAATAGAACTCGAATTGAATATTTTCGTAACAAGCCGAACATGATCAATATCTATGTTTTAACTTGAGGAATAGTGTTAAACATTATAAAATATATTATGAAATATTTTTACATAATTATTAGTTGAGGTCTTAGCATTAATAGAATGATTTATGTTTTCATATATAGATCATTCTTCTATATATATACCTTTAACTTTATGTAATGAAAGATAAGTAAATATTCAGAATTTCTTTCCCTAATTCTTACATTGAAGAAGCACTATAAGCTTATAACTTAGTTAACAGAGATTTCTCATGCACAATAAGGCAAAAAACAAATCATACGTGCAACAACGAATGAGCACATACAGCCCACATGCTGAATTTTCTGAAACAATACCTTGTCATTCCAAGTAACAAATGGATTGAAGTGCACGCCTACTCCTATTTCATCTGCAACTTCAGTTACCTAGACCGAGTCAACCAACAAACTATCAGCTTGAGAATAATTACCGAGAAAGGAATAATCGTGCATGCATAAGGAGAGAGGCAGAGAGAGAGAGAGAGAGAGAATCACCAGCTTTGCCCCACCAAGGAGCACCATCCATGAAGCGTAATGATCTGAATTCATTTTAATATTCTTGTTTGTATTAAAAAAGAAGGATTAGAATCCACAATGTCATAAGGGTATATTGGATAGTCTATTTTGTTTTTAACTGATATGATCAATCAAATCCCAAACTCACTTCAGAATGCCATTGCAGGGGATCTGATACACCAAGAATGAAATCTACCATAGCTGACTATAGACAGAGGAAAAAAAAGAGCAAACAACAGTAGAAAAGTAGATTACAACAACTGAAAACGTGCACGTCTGTGTGTGTAATGTGCATGAAAACAAATTATAGAATTACCTTATCATAGTTGTTCTGATGAAGAGATGAACCATAGACACAACAGAACTCTACAGGCGGAAGAACTTTCAAGAAACTCACAAGCTCATCTCGCTTCTCATTCTCCATTCTCGCAATTACACTTAAAAATACACGCAGATGTACAACCATAAAAGTTAATAACAAAAGGAAAAAAGGATATATACTTAGAAGAAATGTCAACAATATACCATGAAGCTTGAACGTCTTGGTAAACATGAACAAAAGGCCTCCATTTTTTAACAAAATAAAATTGCAGATACAGCTAACAACTAAGAATACTAATAAACCCTTCTCCGAATCACCCATGATCAACTTGCGCATTAGAACTGTGCTTTGCTTCAAACCAATTTCACGAATTTGCGCACACAAGAAGTGAAAGGTACAACTAGACGAGTAAAAATTGTATTTTTATAAGACCAACCTGTTGAAACTAACCCATTAAACAGCTACCATAAAAATGATCAAATAGAGACAACCGTACAAATCAGCCTAGCTAAAAGCCCTTTCCTTTTGGATCATTTACTGAGCTTTCTCACATGCTAGCACAAAAAACAAGGTATCCTTTAATCTCCCAGGTTCAGCTTGGTTACTATTTTGAGAACACCTTGTTGCTCTTGGGGGAAAAGGAGGAGCACAAACAGAGTTTCCCAATTTGAACTGAATGCTGAATCATCGACGATATAAATGAATAACTCTGTGCTTCCAAAGCGAACTTTCCTCAAACATCTAATGTGCAACTCAGAAGCACGACTCTCTCACCAACCACGCTCTACTCAAAATTGTTTACCTCGCAGGCTCAAATTCTTTCCTTGTGGGTTTTTTTATTTTTGGAGTTTTAACTCAAATTCAAAAATGGATAGAGGATTCAGTCGTCAATTATGAGAGAGAGAAGAGGGCATTCCGAAGCATACCTGGCCTCTCCAGACTTTGAGCATGCAGAAAGCTTTTCACTGATACAGTTTAAAAAATTTCTCCACCTTCACTTAAACTAAGGTCTAGAAAATATTTTAATCTTGAAAAGCAAAAATGTTAATTTAAAATATTAACACTTTTAATTCTCTTACAACTGAAATAACTATTAACAAAAATAAAATAATATTGTAATGAAATTAGAGTACGTCAGAATAGTTGGTTCACAATCAATAATAAAATATTATAATTTTGACTCAATATTCATAAAAAATTTATAAATAAATAAATTTTAAATTATTATGATATTTGTAACGCCCCAAAAATTTTAATACTTAATTTATATTGTGAACCCTGAGATTATTTAAACTCTATAAAATTTCGTATTTTAATTTTTAGATAAAATTTAATATTTGAGTTTCATAATTATTTAATTTAAATAATTATTAAAGTTTATTTTTATTGATTAATTATTAAAAATTTATTTTTTTAATTTATTAAAAAAATTTCAAGAAAAACGGAGGAGAAATGACAAAATATCCCGTAAAAATGGCAAAATATCTCGTGGGGCATGAGGCGCGGTCTAAGCGAGCGTCACATCGCATGCAGACGGGCGTGCCCAGTGCATGCGTCGTCTGCACAATAGGCTTGCGTGCAATAAGCCCACGAGTAATAGTGTCGTGTCGCCGTCATTTGGGTGGCATGCCTTCGGTTTTCGCACCGTCATTACGTCGCTGTTGTCACATCGTCCATCCGTCATTCACATCTGTCAGTTGTCACATTGCATCAATTCACTTTGACTTTTTCTCTCTTTACAAGATTTTGTCACTTGGTCCAAATATAACAGTCTCTATTTTCTATAAATAGTGACTCTCTCTTCACCATTTTTTCAATATTCCTACCTCATTCTTTCATACACCAAAGAGTTTTAGAGAGAGTGTGTTTGATGTAGAGAGAGAATGAGAAGAAATCGATAAAGGAAAGACGTAGGAAACACCAAGATTTTGGTAAAGAATTTAATATTTACTTTTAACATATTAATGAGTATTTTTAGATTAAATTAACGAAGTGTTAATTAAATGTTGCATGCTTAATTTTATATGTTTAAATGAAATTATTACATGTTAATGCATGTTTATGTGAACATATATAAACCGATTATTGCATGATTAACTAAATAATTAATTTACACATGATAAATATTGATGCATGATTAATTGAACAGTGATGAAGTAACAAGCATGATGTTATACTTTAAGTATGAAAAAATATATCGATATTGGCATGCATGGTTCATAAAATGTTTTCGTTATATTTTTTATCTCTAAGCGGTTTTTGTTTCTCTCGTCATCCAGTCTGAAAAGATGTGAAGTAATCGCTCTCTATGGATGACGATGTACCCTCTGATGAGAGTGGTGACATGATATGATTGTGGGGGTCACCTTTGGCGAAATACGATTATGGTCATAGTTTACATGTAAGACCATTATGGTTGGTACGACAAAACTCTGAATTGGAAGGAGTCCGCTCTGTTGGTCCAGACAATGGCCTCTAGTTGGAAACTAGTTAATGTTATGCAGACACTCCACCTTAACCATTATGGTAATAGTATCTACCTCGCTTAAATTCGAGTTTTGCCTAATCTTTTTATAAAGATTTGGGAAGCTCGCTCCATCGACTCAGAGATAACCAAAAATCTGAGGAAGTTTACTTTTGATGAATTTCCTGATTTCATGCTCACAGATAATGGATTTTGTAGATTTCAGAATCGTATTTGTCGCTATCAAGACGGATGTTCTCAAGACTGTCCATGCCTCCAAATTGTCCATTCACCCCGGAAATACTAAGATGTTTAGGGTCCTGAGGTGTCAATATTGGTTGTCTGAAATAAAGAAATACACTATCGACTATGTCTCCCGATGCTTTACTTGTCAGCGAGTTAAGGCTGAACACCAGAGACCCAGCGGTTTATTGCAAAGCCTCCCTATTCGAGAATGGAAGTAGGAACATGTAACCATGGACTTTGTCACCAGTTTACTTAAAACCTATTTTGGTCGCAACACAATATGAGTCATTATTGACAAGTTGATCAAGACCACCTATTTTCTACCAATCAGAACCACAGATTCTACCAACAGATTAGCCCGTTTGTAGGTCGAGGGGATTATTCGACTCCATGACGTTTCCTTATCCATTGTATTAGACAGAGATTCTCGATTCACTTCCTATTTTTAGAATGATTTTTAAGAAGCACTTGGTTTAGGATTGTATTTTAGCATTGTTTATCATTTTCAGATCGATTGTCACTCTGAACATACCATTCAGACACTCGAAGAGATGTTGTGCACTTGTGTCCTCGACTTTGGTGGTAACTGGTATGAGTATTTTTTCTTGTGTAAATTTGTTTGTAATAATAGTTATCATTCCAACATCGACATGACTCTGTATAAAACCCTATATGGTAGCCCCTGCCGTTCTCCCACTTACTGGAACGAAGTCAGGAACCAACGTCATTTGTAACCAGATTGCATTCAAGAGATTATTAAAAAAGTTGTTATTATTTGAATAAACTTAGCCATCACTCAGAGTCACCAAAAAAGCTATACTGACAACAGTAGAAGGCCCCTAGAGTTTGTTGTTGACGATCAAGTCTTCTTCACAATCTTCCCTTATAAAGAAAAATTGCGGTTTGGTAAAAAGTGTAAGTTGAGCCCCCATTATGTGGGACATTTTCATATCGTAGAACATGTCGGACCCGTGGTGTATTGTCTTACTCTACCCCCAGAGCTTGCAAGTCTACATAATATTTTTCATATCTCCATACTTAAAAGATACTACCCTAACCCTTCTCACATCATTCCTCACCAAGAAATGCATGTTTAAGCAAACATAACTTATGAGGAACTCCTCGCAGAAATCCTTCATTGGACCGATAAAGTTTTACGCAATAAAAGAATCCCGATGGTGAAGGTGCAGTGGCAACACCATATTCCGGATGAGGCAACATGGGAATTCAAGAGTGAAATGGGAGAGAAATTTCATGACTTATTTATGATAAATTTGGGGGACCAAATTTCTAAAGGTAAAGGGAATATAACATCCCGAAAATCTTCGTGCTTAATTTATATTATAAATCCCTATTTATTCAGGTCCTGATGCCATTTAAACTTGTTAAAATTTGTATTTTAATTTTTAGATAAAATTTAATATTTGACTTTTGTAATTATTTAGTTTAAATAATTATTAAAGTTTATTTTTATTGGCTAATTGTTGAGAATTTATTTTTTAAATTTATTTAAAAATATTTTAAGAAAAACGGAGGAGAAATAGCAGAATATCCCGTCCAAATGCCTATAGGAAAGACCCCGCCCGCACGGGCCACGCACGCAGCTCACGCGGCCAGTGTGGGACGTGCATCTGTGCGCAAGTCCCATCCGCGCGGGGCGAGAGCCACAGTATATGCACGCCGTCCACTTGGTAAGATTGCACATAAGAGTCCTACGCGTGCGCATCAAGCTGGGGTAGTGTGCACTGGCTTGAGCAGTGCGCACTGCCTCCTTGCTTGTCGTGCATCGCCTTTGGGCAGTATGTCGTTGTTGTTTGGGTGGTGTACTGTCGATTTTCGCACCGCCGTCACGTCGTCTTCGTTACGACGTTCATCCATCAATCGTCACATCGCATCAATTCACTTTGATTTTCTATTTTTTCACAAGATTTCGCCACTTGGCATAAATCTAAAGGTCCTAATTTTTTATAAATTTAGACCCCATCTTCACCATTCCGACTTCATTCTTCCATCCACCAAAGAGTTTTATAGAGAGAGTGAGTGATCTAGAGAGAGAATGAAAAGAAATAATTGAAAAAAAAGACGTAAGAAATACCAAGATTTCGGTAAATAATTTAGTATTTATTTTTAATATACTAAGGAGTATTTTTGAATTAAATTAACGAAGTGTTAATTAAATATTGCATGCTTAATTTTATATGCCTAATGAAATTATTACATGTTAATGCATGTTTATATGAACGTATATAAATCGATTATTGTATGATTAACTAAACGATTAATTTATATATGATAAATATTGATGCATGATAAATTAAACGGTGATGAAATAACAAGCATGATATTATACTTTAAGTATGAGAAAATGTACAGGTATTGGCATGCATGGTTAATAAAATATTTTCTTTATACTTTTTATCTATAAGAGATTTTTGTTTCTCTCCTCATTTGGTCTGAAAAGACGTGAGAGTACCGCTCCCTGTGGATGACGGTGTAACTTCTAATGAGAGTGGTGATATGATATGATTGTAGGGGTCATATTTGGCGAAGTACAACCATGGTCATAGTTTACATGTACGACCACTGTAGTTGGTACGATCGTGGTCATAGATCGTGTCATAGTTTGGTAAGCCATAAATGTATTGTTTTGGCAAGTCGTAAATTACTAATATAATATGAAATGAATTGGTTATTTCACATAAGTAGTCGAGAATCTGTATTGCCCTTAATAGATGGAAGTTGGAACAATTTTGCGCGAAGAATAAAATAAAATAAAGAGTATGTCATGATTTGTTTAATTTTCTTTATTTTCAGCATAGTTGATTCGATTAATATGATATGATTATGACATGATAGATTTAATGTTTTCTTAATGAAATAAATTATTTTCATAATTAATAAAGGACTCCTGATATGACCTCTGATTGTGAATTATGATAGTATCTTATTTCAGTTTTTAATTACATTTGAAATCTCAGTGATATTATTTAAATATTATTTTTCTTACTAAGTACATGGAACTCATACCCTTTCCATGCTTACCTTCAGATAAGGACTCCTGATATGACCTCTGATTGTGAATTATGATAGTATCTTATTTCAGTTTTTAATTACATTTGAAATCTTAGTGATATTATTTAAATATTATTTTTCTTACTAAGTACATGGAACTCATACCCTTTCCATGCTTACCTTCAGATAAGGAAGATAGTAAGAAACCGATCATTGATCTACCCTTTGAAGTTTTTAAAGATCCCGTGGATCCGTGAATCATTATGAGTCTATAGTAGTTTCACACTCTGATGAATCTATATTTTGTAGAATCTTGTAATTAATTTTGTTTTTGTCTTAATATTATATATACTATTATTATTTTGTAAGTGTTTCACACTCTATTATTATTTTGTAAGTGATTGAAATTATTTATTTCACTGCATACATTTATTTTACATGCACTTTTAATTTATTTCTGTATCTGATATCCATATGTTTTAATTAACATTTAAGATGTTACAATTTTTTCTTTCAATTTTATTTTAATTCATATTTTTTTAGTTGAATATTTTTTTTAAAAATATATATATATATATATATATGATATGATGAACTAATATCGAATTAAACTAACAATTATACACTATTTTAAAATAGTCAAAAAGATCTCAAATAGATTGTTCGATGAAGGACGTAGATATAACATTGCCAACTGAACCTCCATAAATCATAATTGCAATTATCATCTTCCTTAATTATCTTTACTTTTATAATTGCATTTGATTTCAACACATGTAATTATTAACTTTTTACACTTTGAAACTTTGATTTGTTAGAATTAGTATTTGATTGTGTTGGATAATTATAATATTAATTATTATTAAAATGCTCTTTGTAATGATGTTTATTGCCTCATAAATAGAAAAATATTATTTCTGTTTATCAAATATATTAAATATATATTTAATATCATTTTAGTTTTCATAATTAATTTTTAACAAAAATATTAAATAATTCATATTAATAAATTTAAAGAAATTACATAAAATTACCCTAATTTTTGTTTGAAATCTCAAACAAAGACCTCTATTTTTAATTACATAATTTTGAGACTTAAACTTTACTTATCATATCAAATTTTGTGAAATGACAAAACTATCCCTCCATGTGTTGAAATCCAAAAACAAAGAATAATATTTTGGCACTTTGCTTCTCTCATCTCTCTCCCACTTTCTCGCCTGGTTTTCCAAGAAGAATTCATTTTTTTACCAATTTCCCTTAAAATCAGCTTTTTTAATTTCAAAGAATTTCCCATAAAAGCAGTGTTTAACTTTAGGTCACCTGCTGTTAATTCACATAAAAATGTGAGTCATGAAATATCTCATGGAAGAAGACATGTGAGAAAGGGAGAGAGATGCTTGAAAGAAGGGAGACAGATGCAAACTTGGGTCTGGGTGGGGAGTGTTTACACATGTTTAAACTCATATGACATGTTTATTATCATTTTCTAAATATTATTTTTATTTTCAATCATTATAATATATATATATATATATTAAAAAAAGTAAAAACTAAAAAGTAAATGCATGTTTTAGGGGGGCAAAAAACATGGGAGAAGAAAATAAGTGAAAGCTAAAGAACTCGGCACCTTGTATATCAAATCTATTAAAATTGTGAGAATGGAAAAAATTTGGAATACTGCCTGTAAAAATATGGCAAGTACCAATTTGAGAGGAGAGTTTAACATGTTAACTTGTCTGAAATAAGTAATTCCTGGACGGTTACCAGGTCAGGGAGTACAGTTGCGCCAGCTTGTCTCCAATCCTCCACCGCGGAGGTCTTAAACCGATCCAGTAACAATGCTTTCATTCCAATGCTCTTTGCTGGAAGGTAGTCTTTGCGCATGCTGTCTCCGATATGCAGAGTTTCCTCAGGTGCAATATTGCCTGCTCTCATAAGGGCAATCTCATAAATCTTTGGATTCGGTTTCTCCACACCTTCAAGACCAGAGAATACACCAAAGTCCCATTCTGATCCCTGTACCATTTTATTTAATTACATGGAGTTGTTAGTGCTAAAAGTATTGTATCGAAAAGTTCGTATCTAAATCAAACCAAGAGCTTAAAGTGAAAAAGCTTATAATCTGCTTACCAGGTTCAAGCCCAGAGCAGGAAGAATTACATCCTGGTAACGGTATTCTGCATTGCTAACAATCCCTACTTTTAGACCCTGCTCTCGTGCCCATCTTAGAAATGGCTGTGAGTCTGGGAAAACAGTATAAGGTGCCGATGAACCAAAAGATGCATATATACGTCTAAATATTTTCTCAAATGTCTCCTCATCATAATCATACCCTGCCTGTCATTGATAACAAGATTGGCATTCATATTGGAACCAAATACGTTAGAAGGTAAAATCCTAGAGGGGTCTAGAATCTTTAATATAACTGCAAACACATACCAGATTAGAGAACAGGATTAATGCCATGAATTCTAAAAATCAAATATAAATTATTGAAGAATGAGATGCCTCTTTCCTGAACATTACACAAACGAGTATGCCTCCTACGGCCATTACATGCAATTATATTGATGACCTAATAAACTTGGTCAAATTGAATGTAAAGTTGTCATTGAAGTACCTTACCCTGACAAAGGAATCTCTCACACAAGTTTTCCACCAGACTATATTAGGCATTTTTACCAGGTACCCAAAACACGGGTACTGCTTCGCCATTTCTGTGTATGCATGTTTAAAGCCCTCATGCACGCGTTTGTAGTCAGGGCAAGGTAGTCCAACAGCTTTGGCTGCCATGCAATAGTAGTCCCCAAGCTCTCCTTTATAGGCTATGAGGGTTCCGGTCACATCCACAGTGATACAGCGTAATTTTGAAAGTAGAGACATTGTAACAACTACTGTAGTCGACAGAGCAATTTCTTTGTACTCAAGCAGGGGCTTCTAGTGCAATTCTCTTTCTGTCAATGATAATAAATGGAATTCTTAAGTCGAATTTTAGATGGTCAAGACTACTGTTTTCTTCAGTAAAGAAGCCAACTTTTTGTATCTGCATATATAATAAGGTGGTTTACAATATGCACCAACCAAACAGTTGTAAGTATTACAACCATGAAAAAAAAAAAAAGGATTTTCCCTTGTTAGTACAATTATATATTAGTCTAATTCTCAAGTAAAATTCCAACATCCGCACCTAAATATTGAAACATTTGACCAACTGAGATATAAAATGCACTATTTCAAGTTTAATTTTTCCAACATATAAATTGAATATGAGTAAAAATAAAGCAGAAATAAGAAGGAAGAAACAAAAAGTCCAGTTACAGGCGCCTTTACTCTGAGATATAGAAGGAATAGTCATAAATCAAGATTAGTAAAAAAAAAAAAAAAAAAAAAAAAAAAAGATCATAAGATGATTCAGAAACAGAAGAAAAGACGTGTCTTTGCTCATTAGGTGCAAAATGCACTTGTCCATCAAATACACTAAGCTGCCAAAATGATGGAAGAAAGTTTAAAATATTCAAATAATGAGAGAAATAAAAGCTTTTCCTCTTGGAAACTCTTATTTTATGAAAAAGATGAGCAATATTCCAGGTTACTTTTCACCCCACTTATTCTAGAGGAACTATTTGATTGAAAAAGCCTTCTTATGATGAAACTAAATCTAGGGGAATTTACCACTCGACTAGATGGAAACCAAGCACCGGGATCTCCCAAAAAAAAGAAAAATGAGTCGCAAGTAAAATAATCCCCTTGATAAACAACCGAATAATTATAAGCAAAAATATTAAGTGGCGAATTTCTAGACAAAATAGCCAAGTTAAAAGATAAAAAAAGCAACTCTTTTGTGTTTAAATATCAGAATAGAGTCCAACAATACGGTACATCCAGAAAATAAAATGAATGATCAAGATGACTCACGAAACTCTTCTGTATCAGTCTTAGATAAAGTTATAATATCAGAATGAATAAGATTTGTACGAATCACCATCTTTATTTGCAAATACATGTTTTTATCCACATTATAAACAGACAAAACGTGAACTTGGAATTCAAGCTTCTGCAGAACTCATTTGTCGGAACGCAGTGTTAAAATTCAAAGTATCAGCAAAGAATAGAATCCCTGGCAATTCAACCCTAGTCGGGACCATCACAACTTACACTATTCATCAAAAACTATAGACGACGAAGTCAAAAGACTGACAACAACGGTTAAACTTGAATAGAAAGGGTGGGATTCATGTACTAGCAGAAGAGAAATCGTCAAGAATCTAGAATTAAACAGAGAAATGCAGGTAAAAAAAAAAAATCAAAATCAAAATTAGCGTACGAATTAGAATCATCAGAGATTCAAGAAGGCAGAGAAGACATGGGAAAACAGGAAACTTAAATATTCACTGCAGTACTGATGGAGAACCTGAGTTCTGTTGAAGAGATCGTCAACACCACTCCGATTCCTTACGGTCTCGCCTCAGCTTCAAGTAGCCACGCTGAACTCTGATGAGAACACAGAGGACTGCCTATGACCTAACCTGAAATATTTATAGCAGTTCGCCAACACAGCAAGTCACGACGCCAGCTTTAAGAAATCATTTTCCTTTCGTCAAACACCGGAACCTTTTCCATTATTTGCATTGGTACCCATGCATATTACAATAATTTTGTTCATATCATCCTTTTCAATTTCTACCCCAAAAATAGCCAAATTGACCCATCTATTCTAACTGGCAATTAGATTTAATAATTATATCTCTACTATTAAATTTAATAACCCATGCATATATATATATATAAGTCTCAAGGATTTTAACTTTTCCAATCATAATTATATCTCTATTCTCTGTGATTGGTGTGTATCTTACATTAAATTTTAAGTGTATAGTTATTTTTAAATTAAAAGAATATGATATACCATTATAAATAATATGATTATAAAACTTTTTACTATTTTATAACTAGTCAAATAAAATGATTTAAGGATATATATATATATATATGTGTGTGTTTCATTCCTTACCTTTTTCTTACTGAATAAACAGGAAAAAGAAAATGTTTTTTTGGTGATGAAATGCGACTACAAAGGTTGAGGAGGGTGAAAATACAAATATAGTTTGATTAAAAGCAGAGATTATAAATAAAGAAAAGAGGGGATTATGAGTGGAAACATACAAAAAGTTAAGGGCATAAACATAAAGTTTGGGAAAAAGGAAAGCCGAGAAAGTAGGAAAATGTGAAACCATGGTCGCTTGCCTGTTGTATTGTTATTTATTATCCACAGTCTCAGGTAAAACCATCAACTCAATTCAATTGGGTTCTCAAATCTGGTTTCTCTTTCCCTGTGCATTTAAATCATTTCTGCATATATATATATATATATATAGATTCAAGATTTTCTTTTACATTATAAAATATTAACGTTTTCGTCTTTTCCAAATTATAAGATTTAATTAAATTTTCGAAATTATAACATTCCAGAGCCGATCATATTTAGATTTTAATGTGCAAAATCTGCCGACTCCAACAATACACTTCGTGTGGGTGTGTATGAAATATTATGTTTTTATATTTTGAATATATGATATTTTATGTACTAAATATACATTATATAAATATTGATATATATCATGCTTCAATATATTTAATATTTGTTATTTCTAAACTATAGAAATCAATTACAACCGAAATTCATAAAATATGTATTAAATATAATTTTATGATCTATCCTAGATTTGGAGTAAATTCTAGTTTCTTTAGTTTACATTTACGATCGAATTTTGTGAAACCCATCTCTAATCCGACCTTCTGTTGTTCCTACTCATAACATTATCATTATCATGTATTTATTGATGTTTTAGGTTTGAACAAGTTTGGAACTAAAACAATCTTATGTTTTTACATTATCTCATTGCCATTGCAATTTGGATACTAACTTTTTAAATATCATCACATTCAGGAAACAAGATCATTCTTCTACTATCATATTTTTAAAATATAGTTATCAAACTCCAGAAAAAATAAAAAAAATCAAATTCAGTAATTGTTAAAGATTGACACCATTTTCTTGAAACTTATTTTAGTGTCATCTCTATTCTTTTAATAGAACACAATGTTCATTAATCAAATAGGATGAAACCATCTTGATCTAGTAAAAAAATCCTATATGCATTTAACTCCTACACTATGATATTCTAAATACTAATTAAGACATAAGAGTATTAGACACAAAAACATATTACGAATGCATGATAAAATTTGTATGTAACGGAACAAATTATCATAAATCCTTTACAAAATATACGAGCTCCAATTACATATATATATGTATGTATAATTGAGGCCAGAAGTGACAACAAAATACAAAATATCAAAATACAAAAATGGTCACTTCTATTATTGTGTTATTGGACTCATCAGAGTGCATGAACAATCATGCACTCAAGGTTTATGAATCCACAAGATCCTCATAAACTTCAAAGGGTAGATCAACGAACAGTTTCTCACTATCTTCCTCATGTGGGAGAGCATGGAAAGAGTGAGTTTCATATGCTCAGTAAGGAAAATAATATTTAAATAACATCGTAAAGTTTAAATGGTGAATAATTATTCATTATTGCTTACCATTAAATCACATCGGAGTTTTATCTTACCTTATAAAAATAATTTTATTTATTAAGAAAATATCATGTCATAGTCACATCAATCTGAATCAAACATCATACTCAACAATAAAAAAAATCAAATAAATCATGAAATGCTTAGTTTGTTTTCTTGTTATGCTTCGCAAAGTTATTCCAACTTCCATCTTTAAGGGTAGATATGAATTTTCCGACTATGTATGTGGAATGACTATATCAAATATAGATAACAACAATTTGCTCAGGCACATTTTCGACTTGCCAAACTATAGTACGACTATTACCACGACCGTACCGACCATAGTGGTCATATCAAATATTCTATAGCCACATAGTACTTAGCCAAATATGACCTCTAACAGATATTCACGTCACCGCTCTAGTCAGATGGTACGCCATCATCCATAAAGAGCAGTCATTTCACGTCTTTTCAGACCAGATGGGGGAGAGAGAAACAGATACTCCTCAAAAATAAAAAATCTAACGAGACACTTGATGCATTATGCATGTCAATACAGATACATATTTCGGACTATTCAGGCTTCGTTCCATTTTTTTTTCCAAATAACATCACTAGATTCTTATTATTTTGTTTACATGCAAATTATCAAGTGCCTGTAAATCACAGAGCATGCTTGAAATCAAAACAAATTCACTTTATTAGAACTACTAAACATAGAATATGCAGATCACGAAAAATCAAAGATTCATTATCTTAATTTTTTTAGAAATACTTCTTAAGACATTTAAGAAAATACTAAATTTCTTACCAAAACCTTAAAGTTTTTCTACACTGTTTTTCTTCTCTTCTTCTTTCTTTTTCTCTATATCACTCCTTCTCTCTCTAAACTCTTAGAAGGTGGAAAAATGAAATAGAAGTAATGAGAAAATGGGAGGAAGGGTCTCTATTTGTAGAAAATGGGGACCGTCGAATTTGCGTCAACTGGTGAAATTCGATGAAGAGAGAGTGTGTTGAATGAAAAAGGATCAATTTGATGCGACACAAAAAAATAGAGGAAAATTTTCGTCCACTAGCAGTGGCACACCCTAAACGATGGCACACTGCCCAAGGAGGGGGACGACACACTGTCCAAGGCGATGTGTGTCTCACTCGGTCGGCTTGCATTGACGGCCTAGCCTGCAGGCGCCGCCCTACCCTACCAAGCGTAGGGCCTACACCGCACTAGGGCATTGCGTGCAGGCCTACTGTAGGCAGGCCCCAAGTGTGCAGGCCTATCCGTGCAAGCCGACTACGCGAACGGCACGCACAAAGTGCGCAACACCTGGCTCTATCCGCGCGCACAGGACTGCGGGGCCTCACGCGGATGGGACGTACACACTAGCACACATCCTGCGCCTAGTCACACACGCACTGTGCGCGGTGCCCGCGCGGGTGGCCCTCTCTTGTGGGTGTTTTCTTGTGGAATTTTTTCCTTTTTTCCATTTTTTTAAAATTAATTATTTTAAAATAATAATAATAATAATAATAAATCAAATAAAAATAATAACATATAAAAATTAAAATTAAATAAAATCAAAATAAAATAATAAAATCGACATAAAATTAAAATTACAAATTATGATATAAGGCTGCGAAATAAATTTAAATGAGTTCAGGTGGCCTAAAGATCCGAATAAATAGGGATTCTCTAAATAGAATTTAGCGCGGTGGTGAGCAGGGTGTTACATCCCCCCAACCTTAAAAAATTTGGTCCATCAAATTTGTCTAAAAAAGGTTCAAAATTTTTTTCTTCATCTCGTTTCCCAACTTTTACGTCGCCTCTTCTGGAGTATGGTGCTACCATTGCACCTTCACCATGGAGATCGCGTTATTGTGTAAAATTTTTCAGTCCAATCAAGAATTTCTATGGAGAGTTCCTCGTAGGTCATATCGGCTTATACCTACGTCTCATTATGAGGAATGATATAAGAAGTGTTAGGGTAGTACCTGTTGGGCATGGAGACGTGAAAAACATCATGTAGACCCGCAAATTCTCGAGGTAGAATAAGGTAGTATGCCACGGGTCCAATACGCTCTACAATCCAAAAAGGTCCCACATAACGAGGGCTCAACTTCTCTCTTTTCCTGAACCACATTTTTTCCTTTTAGGGAAAAAGCTTAAGGAAGACTTGATCTCCAATGGCGAATTCCAGGGGTCTTCTACGATTATCAGCATAACTCTTCTGGTAACTCTAGGCAGTAATCAAGTTCTTACAGATGATTGCGACATTCTCAATAGTCTCCTTAATGAAGTCTAGTTCCAAATGACGCTGGTTTCCAACTTCGCTCCAACAAGTGGGATAACGACATGCCTAATGTATAAGGCTTCATACGGAGCCATGTTAATACTTGAATAATAACTGTTATTATAAATAAATTCACACAGGGGAAGATATTCACACCAGTTATCACTAAAATTGAGGACGTAAGCATGGAATATGTTTTCTAATGTTTGAATAGTATGTTCCGACTCTATCAGTTTAGGGATGATAAGTGGTGCTGAAGTATAATCCAGACCCAAGAGCTTCTTGAAAGCTGTCCTAAAAATGGAAGGTGAATCGAGGATCTTGATTGAACATATGGATGAGGGAGCACTATGAAGTCGAACAATTTCATCGATATAAAGGCGAACTAATTTGCTGGTGGAGTTAGTGCTCCTGATGGGTAAGAAATGGACAGTTTTGGTTAGTCTGTCAACGATGACCCAAATGGCATTACGACTGAAACAGGTACAGGGTAGTCCAATGATAAAATCTATAGTTACATACTCCTACTTCTATTCTAGAATCAGGAGGCCCTGTAATAAACTACCGGATTTCTGGTGTTCTGCCTTAATCCTCTAGCAAGTAAGGCATCGAGAGAAGTAATCAACAATGTCCTTCTTCATTCTTGGCCACCAGTATTGGTA